TATATATAAAATTTCTGGCATTCTCTGTTTTGAGCCAAGAGCCATGTGAAATCAGCTACGATACCCCTTGTTCTACAACCTCTTCTGAATCTGGCTTGAGCGTCTGAACGCTCTCTGTCAACGGACTGCTCCAACTGTTGTTGAACAACCTTCTGCAAAATGTTATTTGCATGTGATATTAATGACTTGCTTGATGATTTTGCCTTTTGTGAGGTCACCATTCATAGGAAAGGGAACGATTGTGATTCTCTTCCAAACAGTTGGTCAGGTAGCTGTCTTCCTAATTGATTAGAAAATGTTTCCAGTGCTTTATTATCATGTTAAAACATTTCAAATGGCATGCTGTCAATCCCTGAAGCCTTGTTTTTGGCTAATCACTCAGTCCAGCTTAGACTTCCTCCTTCAGTACTATTGGTTCCTCATCATATACTACTACTTGAAATAGCCGAATATAGATATTTACTTGTTAAATATACTCACTTTTCCATCTTCTTTTGGTGTTTCCTGCATCACTCAATATTTAACTTACAGCATTTTTTTTAACACTCCAACTTGAGGCTTGAATTAGTTTCTTCTGGTTTCTCAGCTTGATACGTTATTTGTTTTTGGTTTACTTACTGTAAATCTTTGCATATTTCATTATAATGATTTACTCTTTTTTCCAATACTGGCTTTGATTTTCTGTACAAATCTTCTACCTCATTCTCAATGATGAAGACTAAGTTTCAGGGCCTCATCTGAAACCCATTTTGATCTTTCCTATTTGCTTAATGTCCTTTTGTTTGCTTCATGTGTGAGGTTTGTGAGGTATCCCACAAAGCATCAGGTCTTCTGTCATTGGTGTCCGAAATTTAGATGGAGTATATTCTAAGTCATATTTGGGGTCTCCGGGCATGTTTTAATTTTCTTCAACTTCTACTCGAATTTACATGTGAGCAATTCTAGTCTTTCCCACAGTCAGGCATTAGCCTTATTTTTTGCTTTATGGTATTGACACTCTCCATGGTCTTTTCCTACAGATATAATGCTTTGTCCTTTAGACTGCTCAAAAGAAAACCAAGCCTTCCACTTTCACGTTAAATCTCAGAATTGGGAAAGATATTTCAGATTGTGAGCTGAATTCTCCTGGAATCATGACAATTTCCCAAATATTCATGAAATTCCTGTTGATGTCCTTCCATGTAAATGCTACTTCAATTCAAGAGTGGCTCAAAGAGTTCTAAAATGAAGTGAACTGAATGAGAAGTTTGATATGTGCCACTTTCTTTTTCCTTTTCCCGATGTTTGATCTCTGTTGTAGCTACAGAAGTGATACAGACAAATGGTGATGTCATCACAGCCTGTCTTCCGAGCTATCTATGCATTCCCAAAAAGCAACCAAACACAGCTTGGGTTTGTGATGTAACGGAATACACACCAGGTAGTGGATGACGTGGATAGATATATAAGTGCTGTAAAAAAAATTATACCACTTTTCTACAATGTTGTCCATCTTCAAAGACATTTCAAAGAATCAGCAGAGGGCCTGATCATGCAGGAAACAATTTATAGAAGGCAGTGTGATCCAAGACACAAATAAGTCTTTAAGAGAGCTGGGAGAGATCTGTGTTTCAGGAGCTGCTCAAGGTTCACAGAGCAGGAGGAATTCAATACCAGATGTAGGTGCAGAAAGAGACTCCTGAGGATCTTCCCTTTGGGATCACTAGTTTTTACCCTGTCTTAGCTTTCAGTACTTTTCATCATGACCTCTTACTGAGGATTTTAAATGCCTTGTGATACAGAATCCACTCAATGACAATGAACTTAATGTTGAGTGGGTAAAAATATCTCAGAAATAATCTCATTGTTTAGTGACATCAGGTCTTGATGGAAAAGATATCAAGAAGATTTTCAAGAAGACCTGAATCCTAAAGAATTATTTTGGCCAGTATGTTATATTTCTTCTTCCAATCTATTTTGAAGACAATTCTGGTTCCAAGAACCACGAATATACTTCTACTAAAAGTAACTAAAGCCGTTTTTATTCATATCAAGACTCACTGCTAATGAGCCAGATAATAAGGAAGGAATACTGTTAAGATATATTTGCTGGTTCTTCTTCCAAAACACAGACCTTTGTGGCCTTGAGCATTTATGCTCTTCACATTTATTTTCAAGAGATAATTAAAAAACTGAGGAAATTATTAAAGGTAGTCCATTCCAGGGGATAAAAAAATAGTTTGCTGAAACCTGGCTACTTTACCATCTGGAGCAATGATCACTCTCGGTGAAGAATTGTGAACTCTGAGCAATACAGCACAAAATAAATACCAAAAGTACATTATGTTGACATGTCAGTATTCCCCAGGAGACAAACCATAAAAATTACATGGTGGTTAGAGGGTTTTGAATGACTCACCAAATTTAGTGAGTCATTCAAAAGAATTTCAGTATATGACAAACATTACATTAGATCCAGTTTTGTCTTGATTATATGGTTTTAATACATCTAAATTCCATCTGACATTAGATATTCCATTTTTGGAATATGAGTTAAGGGAAAATTTAAGTTAATAAAAAATATGTTCATTTAGAGAATCCTAGGGTTGTGGTTGGTAATAAGGTAATTTATTGATCTAGTGAGCTATTTACTATCCAAATCTATCTATACATCATGCTTTTATTAAACATCATCCATTTCTCTTCTACCTACCTACCTCATTCATCCACCCCATGGAGTTGAAGTGAACTAACTCTATTCCCATAGGTTTTCTTGTCACTTGGTTGCATCCGACTCCCTGACAGGAATGTGTCCAACATGAATGAAGAGAATCCTGGGTTGTTGATGTGAAGACGTCTGGTAGAGGACTAGTTCCTTCTAAGGGCACCATCAACATCATTTTTCTTGTAGGAGTCCAGAGTCTTGAGGGAGTCTCGTGGCTTTGCCTCCCTCTACCCTTTTTCATTCTTAGAGGCCAATGAACATTCCACATACAAATTCCACTTAGCCAGTCAAATGAAACCACAGCATACGTGTACTGAAATTGAAGTTACCCCTCACCCTGGAGAATAATTCTGGGCTCAAGGACATTTTCCAAAAGAACACGAGACATCTGTAGACTTCTTTCTTTCTGGTGGCATCTCCCAGAGCTGAATGCTTCGTGGATTCACCCAAGAAGGTCTCAGGATGCCATTACTCACAGTGTTTCTCCTTATTTCCAGGTGCCCTGTCCCTGGTGTAACTACAGGAGTCTGACCCAGGATTGGTGAGACCCTGGCCTCACCTGTGCTTCTCCAGATTCTCTTTAACCAGTTCTACTGTGCACTGGGTCTGCCAACCTCCCTCAAAATGACTTAAGTGAGTAGGTGTACTATGTCCTGCTGGGACACTTAATATAACCCAAATTTCCAATCCTGAGTCAGTATCACCAGCGACACCTCCAGAAAACAACTTTGTTAAAAACTGAGTTCTATGAATCCCGAGGCTGTTAATGTGCCTCTGTCCCGGAAGTCAGTGTAAACACAAACACAAACCTCCCATGCAGAGAAGGGACAGGCCTATAAAGATCCACAAAACAAAAACAAAACAAAAAACTAAATCAATAAATGGCTTGATATCACATTAATTCTGAATCATAGCAACCCTATAGCTACATGACAGAAATGCCCTGTAGGTTTCAGAGACGGTAAATTTAAAAGGGCATTTCATATTTCATCCTGGAAGGTGCTGGATCTCAATTCCTAACAACCACACTCCCTGGGCTCCAAGTACCCCCAGAGCACAAGATTCACACCAGGAGAAATTCCAGATGGAGGCTCAGGGATACCTTCCTATTACAGTCTGGGGATTCTTCTTCATCTCATAATTTCCCCAAGTAATTTGTATTTCTTTATTACTCTTTGCACTCCCTCGTGTCTTCATTATCTTCTAAACATTTGCTTTCTATTGTGCGCTTGGTATCAGCTCCTCATTTTTCCCTCCCTCCCCTCAACCCTCGTGACTCCCTTGATAAAGTATGAATTATTATTATTTTAATATCTTACACCTACCACTCTCTCTTTCCCCCCATGGTTTTTGTTGTTTGTCCCACCTGGGGGAAGGGAAAGGTGAGGGGGATGGTTATGTGTTGATCATTGTGATTGGTTCCCTGTTCCATCCATTTTCTCCCCACCTTCCCCCTACCTTCCTGGTATTTCTATTCCCATTCCTGGTCCTAGATTCCATATGTCGTGACCTCTTATATCTTATCTGTATCTGCCTATGTTCCGGTCTAGCCCACAATGAAAGGCAGGACTGGTGTCATGATAGTGGGGGGTGAGGAAGCCTCAAGGAACCAGAGGAAAGCTGTGTGATTCATCAGTGTTATACTGCACCCTATTTGACACATCCATTCCTTGTGACCTTTTAGTGAGGGGATGTCCCATAGTCTACAGATGGGTTTTGGGTCTCTGCTCCAAGCAACCTGGCATTCTGTGATGCTCACACTCCCAGCAAAATCGCTGAAGATAAAATGGACGAATACCCAAATATGGTGAAGAAAGCAGATAGTGCCCAGCTATCAAAAGATAGTGTCTGGCGTATTAAAGCCTTGAAGTTAAACAAGCAGTCATCTAGCAGAGAAGCAAAAAACCCAAATGGAAGAAGCACACCAGCCTGTACAATCACGACTTGTTGATGGGATCCGGTAACAGGGATCAGAAGATTCGGAAAACAAACAAAACAACATATTGTTGAGAACAAGAGAGATCAGGTTTATACCATTTAAAATACCATGACTTGGGGCAGGTGTACCATATTTCTTAAAGGAACCATTATTATTAACATTTTAAAGAGATATTTTGTAGCAAATTCACCAAAAGCAATATGTCGTTTAGTTTGATTTGGTTTGATTTCTTTTAGTCTAGTCTAATTTAGGTTCTTCTTCTTGATAAAGACTTTTCCACCTTCACCACATACATGCGGTTTCTCTCCAGTATGAATTCGCATATGAACAGTGAGCTCATATTCCAGAAAAATGATTTCCAACATTCACCACATACATTGGTTTTATCTCCGGTGTTAAATCGCTGATGAACTTTAAGGCATTGTTCTGAGTGAATGCTTTACCACACTCACCAAGGTCATGTGATTTCTCTCCAATATGATTTCCCTTATGAACTGTAAGAGAAGTCTTCCAGATAAAGGCATTTTCACATTCACCACATATATGGACTTTCTCTCCAGTATGAGTTCGCTGACGATCAGTGGGGTTTTTGTTCTTGATAAAGGCTTTTCCACATTCACCACATACGTGAGGTTTCTCTCCAGGATGAGTTCGCTGATGAACAGTAAGGGAAGTCTTCTGGATAAAGGCCTTTCCACATTCCCCATGTACATGAGGTTTTCCTCCAGTATGATTAAGCTGATGATAATTGAGAGCACTCTTTTCCATAAAGGCTTTTCCACATTCACCACATACATGGACTCTCTCTCCAGTATGAGTTAGCTGAGCATCAGTGAAGTTCCTCTTCTTGATAAAGGCTTTTGCACATTCACTACATCCATGGGGTTTCTCTCCAGTATCAATTCGCTGATGATAAGGGAGGTCCTTCTTCCGGGTAATGCTTTTTCACATTCACCACATACATGGGGTTTCTCTGCAGTATGAGTTTGCTGATGAACAGTGAGAGTACGCTTCTTGTTAAAGGCTTTCCCACATTCACCACATACATGGAATCTCTCTCCAGTATGAGTTAACTGAGCATCAGTGAAGTTCCTCTTCTTGATAAAGGCTTTTCCACATTCACCACATACATAAGCTTTCTCTCCATTATGAGTTGGCATATGAACAGTGAACTCATATGTCCAGATAAAGATTTTTGCACATTCACCACATACATGGGGTTTATCTCCGGTGTAAAATCTCTGATGAACTGTAAGGCATTGTTCTGGGTGAAAGCTTTACCACACTCACCACATTCATGGAATTTCACTCCAGTATGAGTTCGCTTATGAACAGTAAGAGAAATCTTCAAGATAAAAGCTTTTGCACATTCACCATATATATGGGCCTTCTATCCATTATGAGTTCGCTTATGAACACTGAGAGCAGTCTTCCAGATAAAGGCCTGTCCATATTGACCACATACATGGGGTATCTCTCCAGTATGAATTCGCTGATGATCTGCGAGGTCCTTCTTCCTGATAAAAGTTTTCCCACAATCACCAAATACATTGGGTTTCTCTCCAGTATGAGTTCTCATACGAAGAGTGAGCTCATACTTCCAGGTAAAGGATTCTCCACATTAACCACAGAAATGGGGTTTATCTCCGGTGTGAAATCTCTGATGAACTATATGGCATTGTTTCTGGGTGAAAGCTTTTCCACACTCACCACATACATGGGATTTCTCTCCAGTATGAGTTCGCTAATGAACAGTGAGAGCAGTCTTCTTGATAAAGGCTTTTCCACATTCACCACATACATGAGCTTTCCCTCCATTATGAGTTGGCATATGAACAGTGAACTCATACGTCCAGATAAAGGATTTTCCACATTCACCACATACATGAGGTTTATCTCCGGTGTGAAATCTCTGATGAACTCTAAGGCATTGTTCTGGGTGAAAGCTTTACCACACTCACCACATTCATGGAATTTCACTCTGGTATGAGTTCGCTTATGAACAGTAAGAGAAATCTTCAAGATAAAACGGTTGCACATTGACCACATGTATGAGCCTTCTATCCATTATGAGTTCGCTTATGAACAGTGAGAGCAGTCTTCCAGATAAAGGCTTTTCCACATTGACCACTTCCACAACGTTTCTCTCCAGTATGAGTTCTCATATGAACAGTGAGCTCATACTTCCAGATAAAGGCTTTTCCACATTCACCACAGACATGTGGTTTCTCTCCAATATGAGTTCGCTGGTGAAGAGAAAGAGAAGTCTTCCAGATAAAGGCTTTTGCACATTCACCACATACATGCGATTTCTCTCCAGTATGAATTCACATATGAACAGTGAGCTCATACTTCCAGAAAAAGGATTTTCGACATTCACCACATACATTGGTTTTATCTACGGTATGAAATCTCTGATGAACTTT